AATATATATATATATATATATATATATATATATATATATATATATATATATATTTCAAAGCAATGAGGAAATAGAAATAAGAAAGTAAAGTCTCCCTATGGGTTTTTGTTCTTTAGGTATTAACAAAGGTGCAATCTGAAGGATATGGGTGGCTGCTAAACTAAAAGCAGATCTGAAACATATGAGGGTTTCAACCATTAATTACTTTAAAACTCATTAGAGTACCTTAACATCAATTTTAAAACATTCAGGTAGCCAAAGTAGAGAATTAGAAATAAATGGGATAATGTGAGCTTCCTTTCGGGTCTTTGTCGGCATTAATGGATATAAATGTTGTAGTTGTAGAGGGATGGTGTTGTGTGTTTTTTGTTGTTGTTTTCTTCTGGAAGCCCAGTAAACAGAAGTGCAGTAATTTATTCTGTAAACCTACAAAAGTGTGCATTAAAGTCTCTACCTTGAACTCACAGAGAAATATTCACCTCTTTGTTCTCCGAGGGATAAAAATGCAACGCTGGAAGCATTTTTAATCTTAAGTAAGAAACTTTAATTATAGCCTTAATGCCAGGGTTTTTATTTGAAGAGGTTATTTGAGTCCAACAAGCAAATTATATTTCATATTTTTGTTGACATTAAATTTCTTTTATGTTTAAGCAAACTGATTTACCTTTTTTCACAGCTTCTTCTAAAGATAGCACTGCTTTGAAATAAGAGATATTTTGCAATCGGACGATCGTGAAACTGTTCCTCCGATGCCTGGAGCTACACGCTTTCAAACTCGATTTCAATGCTGGACCCAAACCAAGTTTCTGTTTCCAAGCTGACCCCTTTTCTCACAGTAGTTCCTCTCTCAGAAATTGAACTGGAAAAACACACACACATTCAGGAGAAAGCACAACTGCACACTCACATTATCTCAGAGAACATGTCTATATGGTTACTCATGCTGTTGCTGAGCAGACTGCTGACTCACCTGCAGTTACACCAGATGAAAGGAAGAAATCACATTCATATTATAGGAATGCCCTCAGAGTCTTTTCATTTGTTTGTTCTCAGTAGTCTTGCCAGTTTTTTTGAATATAACAATAAAATAAGCAATTCTAAACAGCACTCCAGGGATCTATGAGTGTATCCAGCATTTCAAAGGGAACTTTCAAGGGATCAGTTATACAAGACATTTAGGTAGTTGGAGGTAGTTTTGTGTTTTGTTATTGTTTTTTTTTTAAGTCATATGTTCAAAGAGTTGCACGGCTGCACATTTGTGACACCAATGTCAGAGTGTTGGTCTCTGTTTCTGGGCACATGTAGAACACGCTGCTGAGTGCATCGCATAGATGACATAGAAGCTTCTAAATTTACTAACTTGGCCTCAATAAGAGTTTCCATGGGAACTAGTCAGACTGCTTGTGATGGTGAGGATGTTTGTTCAAAAGCGAAATCTTTGATGATGTGTGTGTGTATGAACTACCCATATCTCACACTCAGACCTGTAATCAATCAGACCTGGAGTATTTGCTCTTGCTGCAAAAAGAAACACCACAGAGAAACGGCGAACCTTCAAGCAAATAATTGTAATTTTTTTTTTTTTTCCGGTCTCATCAGTAGTGCTCGTTTTATTCTTTTGGTTTTATTCTTCTCGTTACTTTTCTTTTTCTGTCTGAATGAAACAGCTTGCATTTGCTCTGACTGTTTGTTGGGAGAGGAATTGTGTTAATCTGCTGGATGTACAGTTGCTCTGGTTGAGATTCACACACACACGTGCACACACACCCACACACGCCCACACGCACGCACACACGCACGGCCACACACAGACACACACACAAAAACTACTTTATGGCTCATTTAGCCACTACTTTCTGCAGACATTTACTTGTGTTATATCTTTGTATTATTACATTAACAATCAATACTTTAAAGTCATGAATTGTAGACTGAGTTGCTCCTCTGCTGTGTATTTTTAAAGGAATGCAAACAGATGCTCTAAATTATCCAGCTGTGTTGTCTCCACTCCTCCAATTTAAAAGCATTGCAGCTACTGTAAATTAGTGGGCAGAAAACTTGAAGTCATGCATTAGCTGGATTCAGTTTGGGTATTGGACGATTAATGCCATAAAAAATACCTTTATAGGAGTAAAATGTACAAAATGAAACAGTACAGTACATAATAAGAAATAAATGTAGATATATTTATTTCTGTAGTACATTAATATGTGCTACCATATCGGGAAATCTGACACTTTTTTCTGTTACTTCATTAAATTTACTTTAAATTATAGGAAATCACATCCATTACAAAACATTGATTATTACCATTGGTACTGGCAAAAAGGCCCAATATGAGGGATTCAAAATTCTGTAATAAATAAGCTAACGGGCAAACTGAACTGGAGATGTTGCTGGCTAACAATCTAAATAACTTCCTGTTAAAACTTTTACTTTGCTTTCGTTATCAGTGTACTGCTTGTGCTGGTTGGATCTAGCAAAACAAAAGCCTTTTGGGAGTGATCCCCAAGATAGACTATTAGATCATATCATCACCATAGTTAAAAAATTAGGACGTTTATTCTCAGTCCCACCAAAATTCCTAATTAAAACCTCCTTGAGGAACTCTTGGGCCTGCCGAAGCTATATTGCTATTTTTTATTTGCAAACAGAAGCAGAAAAAAAAACATTTTTGTTATTTATCTCAATACTTTAGCTGAAACTAGGTGAATGAATGAAATATTCAGACATGCAGCGCAGTCTGTATGGTCTTACTTTTACATAATGTTTCTCTCAGTAGCGTCTCCAGCTTCATGTTGCTTATTTTATGGGCAAATCACACATTCCTTCCCCCTCCTCGTCCAACTTTTTTTTTTCTTTTTTCCACATTTACAGCTTTTTCTGTTTCCACCAGATATTGCCAGCAACATTAGTTAATTATTGCGAAAAAGGTGGTTTCAGATTGCACTTCAGTTTTACACTGTTTCACTCTCTGCTTTCCCCTGCCAGGTGGTAGCCTACCACTTCTGCCAGGCAGACAACACCTACACCTGCCTGGTCCCAGAGTTCGTCCACAGCGTCGCCGCCCTGCTGGCCAGAGCGCCTCAGCTTGCCCTGTACCGGGAACTCTTGGCACAGGAGCCGCACCTGCAAAATCAGCTCAGCTTGCGTTCCTGCGTTCAGGATCCCATTGCTGCCTTCAGGAAGGGCGTCCTCGAGCCTCTGGCCAGCTTGCGCAAAGGTACCGAGGGAAACGATGCAATGTTGAAATCTAAATAACTCTTTTTGGTTTTTAATAGGCTCGGCTTTCAGGCGTGCTAAAGGTTCATCTCCTGCGCGAAATTGCCTGTTAATGATACTATGATGGCTCATAGATTATTTTCCCTAGTTAAGGTCAGCGGCTGGAAACATTAAAGCGTTCAAACGGATGTTTTGTCATTTTAGATGGAGGAGCGATGAGTGTTATATTTGCCCTGGTGAATCATCGGCCTCCCACGGGATTTCAAGGTCACCAAATACTTTAAAGGGGGGCGGGGGGGGGCTTGGATGTTGTGGGCTCATTAGCCACCGGCTCACTTTCTCATGATGCAGTTAGTCAGCTAGATGGATGTGTTATTACAGTCGGGGCCCTCCGCAGTCTGAGCAGAGGAGTGTTTTGTCTATTTCATCTCTATTAAAGAGGTCAGAGAAAAAAAACCCAGAGAGGCCCTCGTGTGAGTGAGTGTGGGTTGTCTGGTCCTCGCAGCCTTGTGGAACTGGCTTGACAGCTTCGATAATGTGAAACATGATGGATACGTCGTGTATCAAGTCAGTTTGCAACAACGGCCTCCGGCCTCTTTCAGCTGAAGACACATCAACCGTTTTCTCATTACGTCCTGTGCCGTTAGAGAAAGACGCACCGGTCTCATCAGTGTCTCACTCATTTACAAGGGTAACGGCATCGACGTCAGGTTATTATTGTGCATCAGTCTCTCCATCTCTTCTCTGCCTCCTGTTTTCAGAGCGAAGGCTACCCGAGGAGGACTACATCATACTGGTCGACAGTCTCAACGAAGCCGAGTTTCACAAGCCGGACTACGGGGACACAGTCGCCACCTTTATCACCAAAATCATTTCCAAGTTTCCCCACTGGCTGAAGCTGGTGGTCACGGTCAGGACGGGGCTGGTGGTGAGTTGGCGTGTGGTGGATGGAGGTAGCGGCACACAACGGCTCTGTTCTATTTTATTCCTCTGCGTAACCCTAAAATATCCCCCCCACAAACACTGGAGGCACATGGCTGTGCGCGAATCCTGCCTCTCTAGCTGTATTTTAAGCTCTGTCATTGACTGTCATAACATACAGTCATGTCCCATAAAAACTTAATAATGCACTCCAAGGTGGCGCCCGTTCTATACGGTTAAGATTGCTCACTGTGCACGTAAGCTAAAAAGATTTTTCGCCTCCTCCTCTGCTTCCCTACGTCTGTGTTTCCCTCATACCCCACCCACTCAGTCCCACTCTGTGGTCAGAATAAACTCGGAACAAGTGAAAATAGCTTTCTTGTTTTTACCAAGGCCTCCTGTCAAAAGTTTTATATTTAGCATATTTGATAGTATTTCCTGTACAGGTGATTCTCCAGCTGGCTGTTTCTGCGATAAAATAAGACGCTTGATAATGTTCGACAGAAAGAGTCACGCTCACATGAGCATTCAACGCTACTGTGTCTACGTTGCCTCTTCGTGCTTAAGCAAATCCATTCTGTACCTGTCAGCTAAATAAATACCAAAAGGTAATTGGAAAAAAAAAAGAAAAAAACATTTCTCCACATTACTCACACTGACGAGGCTGTCTGCGGTGCAGTTGTTTCTGCGCTTCCCTCAAGAGATAGTCCGTGCTGATTATCTCGAAATGACAAATAATTGTCTTACTGTGCACTGCATTGCTCACCTCCCTGGAAAAAAAAACAAAAAAAAAATGTTTTATTCCACATCTGTCTTGTAAAGAAAAGGCAGGCTTAGACGGAAATCAACTGATTGAATGTTTTTTTGTTTTGTTTTTTTTGTATTTCCCGCACAGAATGTACAAGTTACTGTGCATAATTTGCAGATTTCACTGTGAATGCTAACTTAGGGGGGGAAAAAAATATTTCAAATCTGTTGAGTGAAATCTTGTTAAATGATGTAGTAGACCCTTGCATGTGTGAAATCTTTCTGAGTTAAATGAGCATTGTACAGATTGTCTCAAAATTGTGTCAAATCTATTGCAATTTCATCTTTTTGTAAAGTCTTACTGCTGCACTGCTTGAACTGCTGGATAGTAGCATGTTGTGCTCTTCCCACCACTCTGCTCAGCAGTGGCGTTCAGAGTTTGGCACCGCTGCTCTCTCTGTAGTCTGATGTATTTTCTCAATCTGGTTGCTAATCTCACCAAACAGTAGGCACATCTGTCCTATACCGAAGCCAAGCCTCCAAAAGCTTGCATGGATTACACACTGAATTGTTGGTAATGCTGGCGGGAGTCTGCTGGGAGCACGGAGCTTGACAGCTCGCCAGACGATTACATAATTAAATTAGAGTTTGGAGGAATACAAAACATGTTAGAGTCCTTTTCCTTAAGGTGTGTCCGAAGACAGAGAGAAAAAAAAAAAGATGGCAAAATTGAAAAGCAGGACTGTTATTCTACTCTTGCGTTTTCATCCTTAATATACGAGAAGTTTCATTAAAAACACAGAGGATAGCGACAGAGTTAAGTAAAGCACAGTTTACAACCAGGGATGCACTGTGTGTTCCTGAAACTAAATGTCAGTTTTCTTTAATTGAAACACTTATTGACTGAGAAACAATTTTTTTTTGTTCATCATAGCCTGTTTTAGCCAACACTGAGCAGCTGGAGATGGCAAGAGAGAAGCTGAAATGTGAATCTGAGAGATGCCTGTGAGCAATGACGGAGCTTGAGTCATTGTCACACTATTTACTGTACTCCTTCCCATGAGTCAGAGTCAACAGCATTTGAATAATGGCTCCAGATTTTTGGTGCCTTTATGTTTAGCTTATGTGCCAAAGAGATGCTTCTCTAATCGCTGATGTATATGTACTGAACCCTTAGTTAAGCGGTCTTCCTCCTGTGCAGGAAATCACCACGCTCCTTCCCTTTGCTGGCATTTCGCTGGACATCCTGCCAGACAGCAGTGATCTGGGAGCTGACCTGAGCGACTACATCCATCACCGGGTCAGCGGCAGCAGCCAGATTGCCGCTAATGTTACCACGCCGACAGGCTCAGCTCCTGATCCTCTGCTCCTCAGCAAGTTCAGCAGCAACCTCTCGACCCGGAGCCACGGCTCCATCCTCTATCTCCAGCTGACTCTGGATCTCTTCCACAAAGGTCAACTGGCTCTGAAAGGAGGAAACTACCTGGTTGTGCCCGTCTCCCTGTCAGAGGTCAGACATTTGTGTTTGTCTTCGGATGCTGCATTACAAAAGATTCAAAGGTGCCTCTCAACTTCTTGCTGTTTTGTCACATTAAAATCAGAAACCTTGATTTATTCCACTATTTTATAAATAAGCTATGCAGCTTGTGGCTACAACGTAGCTCACCACCATCAGCGTGTGAATGTTTGTATGAAAGACTGAATGTAGCGTAAAGCGATTTGGAGTCCTCTGACTTGATAAAGTGCTATAGAAATGTAAGGCGTTTACAATTTACCCAATAAATAAAGTTTACCTTCATGCATCAATCACTAATTGAAATGAGTGGTACAGCACAGCTGCGAACCTACAAAGACAATCCTGTTTATGTAAATTGACAGGCCAGAAAATGACACACAGAAACCAAGGAGAGCATTATAACTTAGGAGCTGCAGAGATCCACGGCTCAGGTGGAAAATCTGTTGGCATTTCAATTATTATACTATAGGATTTCAATCTGGTTCACCTGCCTGGCCTACGGTGGACTGGTTTAGATCAGGGCACATTCATGTGTTGGCCAAGTCAAAGCCCAGACCTAAATACAGTTGTGAATCTGTGTTTGAGCTATTCTGAATGAGCGAAAACTCTCTAGATGCTCAAAGCTGCTGTAGGTTTACCCCAAAAAACTAATTGTAGCAAAGTGTGTCTTTGCGAGGAGGATGAAAACAAACACACACCACACTTTCCAGATTTTTATTTGTGCTGTTCTATTGTGTTGGTGCATCCCACAAACATCCCAATAATACATCTTGTGTTATGTGTTACTGTTGCAGGACACGCTGTGTTAGATCACAACTCAGGGGTGGACGGACATTTATTTTATTAAGTTCTTGTTTTATTTCTTGCGTAATCTTTAACATTCGCTCCCACCAAAGAAAGAGAGGCGCTCTCTTCTGTAGGTGTATTTTTGGAAGCTGCCCTTCTGTCTTTTATCGGCTAAAGTTTAATGTCTTAACACTCATCTGTCACCCTGGTGAGCCGCCTGTCAGAAAATGCCCTGAAGCTGAAGTAATTAGTGTCCACGCACCAATCACGCAGGCAGGCGGCTATTGTTCTGGTCTTTTCTTTTATGAAAACAGAGAAGAAGCTTACCCCCACGCTGTTCAGATTATTAAAGATAACATGACGGGATCAAAAACTTTACGCAGAATGCCAGAATTAGGAAACTGCAACAAAGGTAAAAGCATTGCGATGTGACATAATCAAAAGTGTTAAGAAATTAGGATGTCAGAGGAGCATGGCTTGTTGTCTTCACACAAATTGGAATGCATAATGATTTTGCGATTTTGTCGTGAATGTGGAGAAAAATAGTGGGTTAAATATGTGTTGGTTTCTATCTTGAACTCCTAGAATAGAAAAGGTTGGAGATTGTGGTCTAAAACGGCTATAATTGGACCAAATTAGGGCTAAATTAAAAGCTTTCTGGACATCTACATTGTATAGATGTTTGCATTCTTCTCAGGTTCAAAAGAATAATTACATGCTGTCAGTGGCTCCTGAATTTATAACCCCTCAAGCTCTTTTAGCATCCTGCTGAATGAATACGCTGCACAGAGATATTGGCACCACAATGCTACAGTAATCTCGCTATTGCTAGTTAATGTTTGCCTTTAAAAGAAAAGAAAACAAAATCTTCTTTCATCTGCAAGTAAAATACACAAGAGGGAGGGGCAGTCAGTATGGTCACCTTTTCTACACTTACTATAGAAAAATAGATTTGTTTTTTGGTAACACTTTATTTGAAGGGATGATTTTGTAAATTATGATAATTTAATGCAAAGTTGGCATTTTTAATGGACTTTCAATGCAACTTTTAGAGCAACTTTGCATTAAAAGTGTCATTATTTACCGAATGACACTTCATGACAACAGTTATAGACATTCATAAAGACTTCTTCATGTTCATGACAGGTGTTATGTCATGTTTTTGACAGTGTCATGTCAATCTTATGCACACCCCTTCAAATAAAGTGTTACCGTTTTTTCCACACTGTTTTAAAACTTGCAATGCATCCAAAATTATTATTCACTCTCCTCAGGCTGTATAACGAGGAATTCTTCAGTTTCAGAATAGTAGAGACCACAGTAGATTTCAGAACATTCAATGTTACCAATATTTTATTAGTAGCCTTTGGCTTCACGCAGTTCAGTGATGAATATCTACAGACATCTCATTTGACTTCAGAGCCCTTCAGAACTGCAAAACCTCATATTGACCAGACTAGATTGTTCCATTAAGTATTTTGTCCAATCAACTGAATCCAGTTGCAACTCGAGAGTCAGCTTCAAAGCAAAAGCTGAATCTTTAAGGTTAAATTTTGGTTTAAATTTGGCATTTGTCTCATAAAACATGAAGAAACTATTAGCAAATGGATTTTAGAATCAGCTTGTAACAAAGTGTGGGAAAAAAATAATCTTTATTGAATCCATTATTATACGTTTGTGACTAGTCGTGTGATACAGAAACAAAGCATTTCTTTCTGTGCTACTTTAAGCCACATATATATTTACATATTGTACGTAAACTTTTGACTTTGACATCAGAAGTCTAACGATCCAACAGTCCGGATGGCTGAAATACGAACCAGCTGAGATCATGGGGGGGGAAATGGATTCCAACATGCTGACGAGCTTCTGTTGTTTCCCTTCCGCAGCAGATGCTTTCCCCGGTCCAGATGATCTAATTAGTGTTTACAATGAACCCATATGAGACAAACATCTGACATGTAAGAGTTTTCTAACCAAACGCAGCACTGTGCACAAAAAAAAAAGCGTATACGTTTCCACAAGCAGACCTTTTTCCATGCATCAACGTGACATCAATCAGAGTTAATGTATGGCAATATTTGTAAAAACGTCACATTTCAAATGTAAAGCCTCAACGACGACTGGCTCTGTCTGCTAGGTGTACCTGCTGATGTGTCGCGTGAGCTTTCCGGATAAAGACGTCTTCGAGCGGGTCCTTCCGGTGCTAAATGTGGCGCTGGCGTCTCTGCACCCACTGACTGATGAACAAATGTTCAGGGCACTGAACGCAGGCAGTGTGAAGGGGGAACTGGAGTGGAACGACTTCCAGCAGAGATTAGACAGTCTGGCTGGATTCATGGTAAGACCCCTGATGTTACTTCGTGGAAGAATCTATAATGATACAGCCTTTGTTTGTATTGAATCTGGCATTTAGTGACTTAACTCGATGGTTCTAATAATATGGTGGGGTTTTATTTACTGTGAGGGTTTGATCATAGAAACCTTTGCTAGACTGACGTAGATCAATCTAATTTTGAGTCAGGGTCCATTTAGTTGCAAACGTGCCTCTCAAACAACCCAAAGTGTAATTTGACTCAGTTTTTCTCAATTATCGACATGTGATTGTAGGTCAGACGCAGGGATGGCACTCGGATGCTGTGCCATCCCTCCTTCAGAGAGTGGCTGGTCTGGAGAGCGGATGGAGAAAGCACAGATTTTCTTTGTGACCCGAGGTGAGCCAAACTTTCTATTCATGATACATCAGTTTCGGTATCTGAACGCTCAAATGATTAAACTCTTGCACGTGCGTGTTTCTCCAGGAGTGGCCACGCTCTGCTGGCTTTCATGTTCTCCAGACAGGAGGGAAAGCTGAACCGTCAGCAGACCATGGAACTGGGACACCACATCCTCAAAGCCCACATTTTCAAAGTAACAACACCTCCGAGTGGTCGGTGTTTAACTGTAGGCCTGTTACTGAACACATGAGCATCTTCCTCTGCTCCGTAAAAGTCAGCTTTTTTTTTGGGGGGGGGGGGGAAGTTTGTATGAGCTTATAAGTAGTCAGTGTTTATTTATAGTAGAGGGCAGAGTTATGCCATGTAATGGCCCTCAAACAACCCAAACTTAAACATTACTAGCAGTTTGAGTGCATTTTTAATTTGTTTAAATTATTATTACATTCTACTATCTGGCATTAACTAGGTGGGAACATTTTAATAATTGCCTCATGCAAAAATTGAGATGTGTAGTCCATTTTCAATAAATAATATTATTAAAAGGTTAATTCATTTCTGACTCGAGTCATTCAGTGAAACATAGTATTTAATTACAAACAGACTGATGTTTTAAAGGCTTTATTTTTGTTGACTGTGATGATTCCCCTTTATTCTTCATATTCACCTCTACTGTTTAGAAGACACTGACTACTCATAATACCTCCATATAACCTCACTTTAAAAAAAAAAAATCCCTTCACATCAACCACACGTATCAACACTAGTCATAAACGTAAACACCCACAGCTGATATTGTTTCTTCAGTGTGAGTGCTTCACGCTGTTCATGTTGATTTTCTCCTGAGACACGACTCAGATTGTGCCATGCAGAACGGAGCAGGTGTTATCTGACTCTGTGTGTTTGTGTTCCTCACACAGGGTCTGAGTAAGAAGACTGGCGTGTCCTCCAGCGTTCTTCAGGCCATGTGGGTAAACTGCAGCACAGACAGTCTGTCAGCTGCACTGGGCTCCCTGAGGAACCTGTACACCCCTAACATCAAGGTGACACACAGCAGCGAGCTTTAACAGAACATCTTTCTGCACGGAGATAATTCAGACAAAGATATATATTTTGTTGCTTTGTGAAAATGATGTCGCAGGTAAGCCGTCTGCTGATGCACGGTGGAGCGAGTGTGACCTGGTGTACGGAGGTGATAGGACACGCCCCCATCCTGGCTGTTCATGCCCACCTGGGTCACGTGGAGATGGTGGCTTTGCTGCTCGAAATGGGCGCGCCTGTAGACGGGACCACTGGCAGCGGCATGACGCCGCTTTGTCTGGCGGCTGCGGCGGGACACGCCGACATCGTCAGCCTGCTCTGCAAGAAAGGAGCAAAGGTCAGTGTCATTTCTGTAGAGTGTACCGTAGATCAGTCTGAATGTTCTTGTCCTATAGCAGATTATTTAATATTTCAGCAAAATCTCTCACATGTGGATGCAAGAACCTAACTTGGCAGAGATGCTTCAGTGGCTTACTTTTTGAAAAAGAAAAGATGAAAAAAAGTTATCTACTGAAAAATTAAAGTTGCCAGCGATTTTTCAAGATGGCTGTCAAGGAAGATTTTTTTTTTTATCCCACTAAATTTGCCCATTTTTATCACAGATGAATACTTTTGGTGTCAAGTGATACATGATGGGACCAAGAGAAATAATGTTTACTGAAAATGTTTATATTTTTCAAGATGGCCAACCTGGTTGTCATAGCAAAATCACCAATTAGATTAATGTATAGCGACATACTTTGAGCCATAGAAATCAAACACATGTTATTGATCTTGTGAGTTCCTTTCCTTGTGGACATTTTTCAAAATGGCCGCCATGGTGTGATGGAGAATATATGTTCATACTAAGATCGGCAGTAGTTATTTCCTGCGGTGAGCACAGCTAAACAAAAACAGTACCATTAATCCACTACACAAGAATCTCAGCTCTGCTAATGCTAAATGGCTAAAGCTAACCATAAAGACAACTGTCTCTCAGCCCGTCGCACATCTTCATCTCCTTCCAGTTGACGACTGAGGTGAGACGCACAAAGAGCAAAGTCCTCAGTTTCAGGTGTGATAAAGTTCGTCCATAATAATGGGTAACGTTTTATGGCAATAATTGGTGTAAAAGGTGTCAAAAACGTCGTCCGAATTAAAAAATGGCTATCATTCTGAAATGCGTGTGGCTAATGGGAAATAAGAAGAAACATACAATGTAATGGGTGGGCATACAGATTTTTTTATGCTTGTATCCACATTTGAAAAGGTTTCTACAGTAATATCCTGCACTACAGTGACAGAACTCTGCCTCTTAAGATATCTGGACTGCTCTGGTTTTACAGTCACCACAGTTTGAAGCCCTATTCTGGGAGAGAGATTAAATAAACGGGGCTGATCTAGGCCAGTGTTTTACAGCCTCAGCCAGGATGAGGGTTGAGGGTCCCTCTGTGTTCCCCTCTGTTGCCAGGTGGGGCACGCCGATAAGAGCGGCCAGTGTGCGCTGGTCCATGCCGGGCTGAAAGGCCATGCGGAAATCACCGGCATCTTGCTGGGCCAGGATTGGGGCGCAGATGTCCCTGCCGATCCGCAGCAGCAACACGGCAACGAGACGACGATTGGGAAAACGCAGGCAGCCCAGCAAGCGGTGACGGCCGCGGCCAGTGTGGGACACATGCAGGTACGACTCAGATGAAAACAAAACAAAAAAATTTAGCGCCGATGAAATACATCTGCATGTAGATCACGGTGCGAGTCCTCGGCAGACGCTGGAGATTACCTTTGAAGCCGATTGTTATTTTCTCTAGTTCAAGCTCCGCTGGTGCTTTGGTCTGTGTTCTGCACGCAGCAAGGCGGCAATAGAAGACTGTCAAATTGTGTTATTTCTTTTCTGCAGGTGGTGAAAAGCTTTCTGGACTTGAAAGATGAACAGCTGGCAGTGCAGATGGACGCTCACGACTCACTCTGGGGAGAAACGGGTGCGTTTCTCCCATCAGTCACACAGATTTATCTTTCTCACCTATTTCCGTCCGTCAGCGTGGTGCTGGAGTCACGCTCAAGGGCTCAAGTGTTAACATGTCAGGCCGGTTCTATCTCTTTCCCGTGAATTTAAAGTAAAAATTTTATAACTCGGCGACGCTCTGGCTGATGCCAAACGGCTTTGTTTTACCGAAATGAAGCTAAATCGAGCGAAGGCGATTTTTACGGCATCCAAAGAGTGGCTGTTATTCAGCTGCGATATTTCACCTTCGTCACAGATGCAGATTTCCGTTTGGTCCATTTCATGAGGCCACGTCGGACGAAGTCTGCATCTGTGCTCGCTGCACCATTACGGTGTAATTGTGTTAAAAAGTCCCCTGCAGTCCTCGGATCGAAAACGCGGGAGCATGAAAAAGCCTTGTAAATCACATATATAATATGAAATCTCTGCATCATTGGGTTAGAGTCCATTAGTGCAGGTAAAACAGTCATGTTAAGGTCTTATTACTGAACCAGGCGTTCCAGCTTCTCTTTAGATTACCCCAGGCAGCGGCGTACAGAGTGCATCACGCTTATTGAATGTTGTCTTTAATGAGAGCATTTTTCACTCGTGTGTATTTAAATCCAAGCTTTTCAAAGCAAAGACTGAGCCTCTGTTTGTTCTTTGTCCCTCATGACAATGTCTCCTCATTAAAGGCAGCATTGTGTAATTGACTGGCCTCTGAGGCATGTGGACGCGAGAAATATAAAGTCATTTCGCTGTGGGGTTAAAACGCATCGATACCTCGCTTTTATCCCAAGCTGCTCAATTAGCAGCAAGACCGTAGCGAAAATAAGGACCACCATTTGTCAAAATAATATCAGCCGGTTGAGGAGGGCGCAGGTTATTCAGAGATTTGCTTCTGTATGCTGCCTCTGGTTCTTATTTAGCTGTTAAGGAACACTGATACCAGACTTTTTTTTTTTTTTTTTTTTTTTAGAAAGCTCCGGTTTTGGTCAGAAGTAGCTTGCTTTATCCTTTTCAAAGAGTTTTGATGTGTGTTTGGGATCATTATCCTGCTGGAACAACCAACTGCATTTCCTTTCTAGTTTCAGATAAAATATAAATAGGATATAAGATGAGATGGATATGGTTTTACCTTTAAAATATTTAATCCACCACTGTCACAGATGGCAAAACATTTCCACAGCACGATTCTGCTATTACCATACTTTGGAGTTGGTCCCATGTTGGGTTATTTTTAAGATTTAATTGGCTCCTGTTGGCTTTATTGAACACTAATTTGAAAAGGGGACGAGAAAGGGAAAAAAATGGAATTGGGAGTCTCTACCCATGATGCACCTGCTCTACCAATGAAGTCACACACCGAATTTAATGTCTCATCATGACTCCTCCAAAAGTTTTTCTACTTTTTTTTTCATCTGACTAATAAAGTTGTTCTCATGCATTTGGTTTCTCTATGTATATACAGTTGCAAATTTTAGTCGATTTTCAAGGTCGGTTTAGGAAAAGCGGCTTCTTTCTTGGTCTGCAGCCCGTCACTCCATGGTTGTGTTAAATCGTGCTTCACTGCTCCATCAACTTCCAGCTCATGATAGATGTTTGGAGCCTTGAAGTTTTCTTCATTTATTAAACAATCCAGAAGGGTCAGAGGGAGGGACGGTTTGGTTTGGAAAAGTTGGACACGATGATGATCCCAGAACATTAAAACTAATTTCTGAAGGGACAAATCTGGAATTGCTTTAGTGAAGCTCTGACCTCGACTCTGTTGGAAAATTATAGCTATGCTTAAAATCTGGATCTGTGTCAGGGAACCTAGACAACTTTTGGCCAGAATCAAGTGTTATTGGTGATGTATGTATACATATGAGCCCCTAAGTAAAATTTTAACCATTTGTGGATTAGAGAAAACCCACGCTAAATTCAAACCTATACTAGTGTTTGTTGTACAATTTATTCTACCCAAGGAACAGAAATAAATCTTTCAAAGCACAAAAGCCTCTCACCAGAATAGCACACTCGAATGATTGCAACATGAAAAGTCTTTTTTTTCTTTCCCCTTTTCTGTGTCGAAGTGATGCCTCTTCTTCTTCTCTCCCAAATGTGCCTATTCCATCCTCTACCTCTCCTTGCCGTTTGATCTCCCTGCCAACCCCTCCATCAGTGCTGAGCGCGGCAGCGGGGAGAGGGCGGTTGGAGATGTGTGCGTTTCTCCTGGAGCACGGAGCAGAGCTGGAGGTACCAAACCGCAGAGGAATGGTCCCACTGCTCAGCGCCGCCAAGCACGGCCACACACAGGTGAGAGGAGGGGCCTCGGTCGCAGACACAGGATGTCCTCGTCTGAAGAACACACAGTTTGCTTTTACTGCTTATGATGTCTGGAGAAGTGTGGAAATATGCAATGGAGCATGGGAAAGGATTGCTTTTTGTGTCCAAGCTAAAATAAGTACCTGTTTTCAGTTAATCTACTGCTTTAAATCTTCAGCTTAGCCTTCAGGACTCAGAAATCATAATGAATATGTGTTTATACAGATTTATGTGCATGTGTTATGGGTGAGTGTCTCTCAGGTGTGTAGTAGTGCCAGGTTTTAAAGCTAAATTCATGGCCTGTCCAGCTGCTGAAATGTCTTTGGACCAGACTGGAAGAAACTCCCAAAGTTGCTCCAAATGGCAGCAACTTGCGTGGCAGCTGTTTCTGAGTTAGAAATGAAATGCAAACATAAAAACTCACTTTAAAAATCTACAAAGCATGTGCAATATGTTACATAAACACATAGCTTCTCCTCTCCAGACTAGCCAAGCAAAATTATTTGAATGAAAAGAAAATACTTTTGCAATAAATACACATTTGAAAAATTAAGATTTTTTTGTTTGTTTCCACTGTTGTCAGGTTTCGTTAACAGTCTTTAATGTTTCATATAGTAGGCTACACCACTGTAAATCTGTAGCAAATAGTTATTTTTTAGGAATAAAAATAAGCCAAAGAAAAATTGTTGAAAAATATGGAAATTTGAAAAATATGACAACAGTTTTTTTTTTTTTTTTTTTCCCCTTTTGTTTTTCCCAGGTCGCTGAGCTGCTTTTAAAGAAAGGTGCAGACATCAATATCGGCGACAAACAGGGTCGCACCGCGTTGATCCTGGCCGCCTCCGAAGGACACGCCGCCACGGTTGAGCTCCTGCTGGCGAAGGGTGAGAAACACCCCCCCCCAACTTTCAGTGCTTTACAATTACAGTGACATTTGTTGACCACTGATCTAAAATCAAACATTCGCATCATGTGTCGGTGGCCAGGTGCCTCTCTGTCCTCTACCGATCAGGAGGGGCTGACGGCGCTTAGCTGGGCCTGCATGAAGGGCCAGAAGGGCGTGGTGCAGCTCCTGGTGGAGGCGGGAGCAGATCTGAACCAACCGGACCGGCAGGGACGAACTCCGCTCGACCTGGCCGCCCTCAACGGGGACGCAGATACAGTGGGTTTCCTGCTTTTGTGTCGAAAATTGTTTGTTTTACAGAAAAGGAAGTGTGAATTTAGGTCCTCGTGGCCTTGCAGAGCCTGATGACAATCAGTTGCAAGACATAATTATTGTTTGACTGGAATCGCAATTAAATCGTTTGCACTGCGGCAATCACGCGTCACACGGAGTCGCAAAGCTTCACACCGAGCCTCTTGATCACCGGGAAGACAATCAAAACTTTTTGATGATTAACATTTTTCGAGAATCAGTGGGATTAACTAGCCGAGCAGATTGTTGTCGGGGTTTGCGACTGCAGTGGAGAGGGCAGGGGGCAATCAACCAGATGACTTGAGGTATCGAAGACACTCTGTTGGAGTGTGAATCTGTTTTCAGGTGCACAGCCTGGTGGAGCACGGAGCGGTGCTGGAAGGGTCAGACAACGGCGGTACCAGAGGTTCGGATCGACCGGCGGGCTGCCAGAACCCGGCTCTGGTTGCTTCACTGCTTAAGAAAGGATCCAAAACAAGTAAAAAACACAACGAGTAGCAGAACACACCAGCAGTGAATCCTGCATGCAGGAATTTTAGTATTAGAACAGAATAGAGACTGTACTGTCATTGGCAAGTGGACAACAAGGTTTAAAGTGCCATCAGCCAGTGCAACATGCACTCAGAAAAAGCTCAAATCTGCTAAAAAGACAGGCAGACGTAAATCCATACAGTACATGTACAGGGATATGCTATGATCCATAATTAAGGAGCTTAAGACAAGCTCCTATATTGTGCTAAAAAGTGATTTGTAAGTTAGTTTTGTCTTATTTCAAGTGTATTCAAGACATTCGCACTGGAAACTAGACCAAAATACTTGGTATGATTGTGTGTCGTAGTTTCTGTCATACCCTGATCAATAGATGATTTAGATTTGATTTCCTTTAGCATCGCTGTGCAGCTCATTGCTACGTTTTCATCTCATCTACTCGAAATTCCTTCTTGCCTTTTTTTTTTTTTTTTTTTTTCGATCCTCCTTCGCTCTCCATCGCAAACGACGAAGGCTACAAAACCGCTCCCCACGATCGATCAGGTACGTGATTTATCAAACGCAAAAGCGACGCGGCGAGCCGGATCGCGTGAAGATAAACGTTTGTACGCCTCCACCGTCAGGTCACGCTACGTGGGCCATGGCTTCCTCCAAACCCGACATTCTCCTCATCCTGCTGCAGAAGCTGATGGAGGAAGGAAACATACTGTACAAGGTAACTTTCATCCAGGGGTTTGTTGTGAAGAATCTCTGGAATAAAAGAGCTCCAAGCCTGATCCTGGCGTCCCTTTGTGTTCCTCAGAAGGGGCGCATGAAGGAAGCCGGCCAGCGCTACCAGTACGCTCTGAGGAAGCTCCCTCGCGAGGGCCAGGGAGACGAGCTGAAAGGACTCAAAGACCTACGAGTCTCCCTCTATCTGAACCTCTCGCGCTGCCGCAGAAAAACCAACGTGAGGCCCTAAAAAAGCCGTATCACTCATGCACTATTTAACACCAGCAGGTTTATTAGATGCTGAGGGAAGGGAAAAGAAGGACGGGCTGACCAGTGCAGGGGGACGCTTTCCCTCGGATGTATAATTTATCTCTCCAAACATTAAAAAGCTACTAGTGCGGGCACCCTGCAGAAATATTGCTCCTTTTCAGACCTAATTCGACGTCTCCCTGGTACGATAAACAGAGAGAAAGACCCGGAAGCAGGTGGAAGCATAATGTGCGGGCTGTTAGCGCGGAGACGGATGTGCGTGGCCTGCGGCCAGGTTTCGAAACCACCCTGGTGATGACAGACGTCCTAACAGACTGTGTAAAAATGCCATCCTTAGGGTCACTGCGGCCGATGAATAATGGAGCAAATAATGTGATGTGATAAGGTCACTCTCTCCGACCGGCGGGAGGAAGCGCTCTCCCTTTCTGTGCGTTTCGACAGGGCGCCGGCTGGATCCTCGCCGTTGTAACTCAAATGTTTTTGAGAGCCAACGAGGGAGAGTGTACATGATACCGCCATTAAACATTCATCAGCGATTATCAGAATTCAGCGCCGCCGTTTCGACCTCTTTTCCAAGGACAAATTCACATTGTGTCGGCGTCATTAAATATTCACCTGGGAGTGATGAGAGGAGCGGAGAAAACCTGCAGGAAAACAAGCAGCAGCTCTCAGCCTGTTTCGCTCGCTTCTACTTCTCGTCAATAAAAATGATTGAGGCTTGAGCGTGGCGTCAGACTGTGTTGTGAAAACGTATTCGCGGCGTTACAGGTCTATTTTTTTTTTCTTCAGCTAATAACCCGAGTTAATACAAAATGTGGGTGCGCCCCTTGTTAAAACATAAATTAATGGCAATTAACCACATTTTAATCAGGTCTGATCACTGCCATTAAATCTAACCAGATAAAAGATGTCAAAAAGCAACACATCTAAAGAAACCTTTGGTCACTTTCAGTCTGTAGAAGGTACTAAGCTGCTCCAGAGATCTACATCAAAAGGCCTCACTTGACTCGATCCAGGTCAGAGTTCACGATTAAGCAATAAGAAAGAGACTGGACAAAGATGGCATCCATGAGGGAGAAAGGAAAACAAAAGACCTGTCAATAAACAGACATTTAGTAAAATATTCTGAACAAACGTAGGACTTTTTGGAAGGCGTACAAGAGCTGGCATAAAACTAACATTTCAGAAAAAAGGACATCGCATCCACAACCAAACACAATGGTGGCAGTGTGATGCTTCAAGATATGAACAACATACCATAATTAAAGCTGCAGTACGCAACGCTTACAAAAATAATTCCCCCCAGTGCTTCTATTGCCGTCTGAAAAACACTACTCTCTCGGTCAAAACCAACCAATCAGAGCCAGGAGGAAGATCTTGGTGCTGTCAGTCATGCTTGTGTACATGCTGCTAAATGTGTTAATGGTGGAAAAATAATTTACCGTTACAGGAAAAACTATTTATTCACCATTATCTGTGGCCATGGTAACTCCTCCTGGCCCTGATTGGTTGCTTCTGACCAAGCGGTTTATTTCTGCAGAGAGCAATAGGATCACAAGGAAGAGGCAGGTGAACTTGATTGTTTTTTTCATGGATTATCTGTCTCATACTAAACTGTCACCTGGAGATAGTTTAAACAAATATGTAAAGAAAAAAAAATCAAAGATTTTAGAGTGGCCTAGTCAAAGTGGGCACTTAAATCTAAATGATATGCCACTGCAAGGCAGTTTGTACTTGAAAACAAATCCAGATCCCAGGCTTACTTTTGTCTGATACGACAACTTGTTTTTACGATGCATTTTCACAGCAGTGTAGCTAAAACGATGGTTCTTTGTGACAACGCAGGATTTTGGCATCGCAGAGGAGTTTGCGACTAAAGCTCTGGAACTGAAACCCCGGTCTTATGAGGCTTATTACGCCCGAGCACGGGCCAAGAGGAGCAGCAGGTAAATCATACTGCGTTTATGTTTATTGTTATGTGAAATTAGAGCAATTCATGTGAAAATCCTCTGTGGCTCTGTAAAGTATTTTTTTTTGCTTCAAAAAGCCCCTCTTGGCTTCCCCCTGTCCTCTCCAGGCAGTTTGCTGCAGCGCTGGCAGACCTCCACGAAGCAGCACGACTCTGCCCGTCCAACCGGGAGATCCGCCGCCTGCTGGTGCGAGTAGAGGAGGAATGCAAACATCATCAGAAGCTAGTCGGCAACAACGCGGCGCCAGGTTACAACAGGGACCCCCACGCCCACCATCACCAACCCACAGAGGAGGAAGCAGACGTCTATTCACAGGGAAGCCTGGAGAGGCCGATCCCGGCGGAGCAGCTCGATCCGGAGAGGGAGGAGGACCGGGAGGAAGGGGACGAGGTGGGTCTCCACTGTGGGAAGAGTCCGGAGTTCTGGCCTCTGAATCCGTACGGTCCTAACCGGACGCTCCCCGGAGGCGTGACGTTTGGTTTGCCCGATCAGTCCCCGTGCTTCCCTCCCGACGACTTCGTTCAGAACCAGCTGTTTGCGGACGCGTCTGAGCCCGGCCACGGCATGAGCAGACAGACGCAGAGTCAGAGCGCCAGGACTCATCACAATTGCCACTCTCTGCAGTCGGGCAGCAGAGGCGCGGTCAGGCCCATGTCTCTCTGCGGCCCGTCTAGCCCCCTACCAGGCAGGCACATCTCCACCTCCCTGAGGCCAGCGCCTCCAGGCGGGATAGACATCTGCTCCGGGTCAGCCAGCGAACACTCGCGACACAGTCCCACCGAGCATTACCACCCGCTGTCCCCCAACAGCTCTTCCCCTCCCGGGCCCCTCCACATGTTCCAGCCGCGTTCCTCCAGCTTCTCCAGAGGCTCCGACAGACTGTCCGCCCACTCCGGCCCGCTGGACAGCCTCGCTCTGGCTTTGGGGTCCGGATTGGACTGCAGGAGGGATGGCGGTGGAGGAGGCGGGGGGACGGCGGGCTCGAGGGGCTCCAGCTCCAGCCAGGCCTCCAGCGGGAACCTGTCGGACGGCGGAGGCAGGCAGCCGGGGCCGGACCTGGCCCCGTGTCCTATCAAGAGCAGCGGTAGCTTCAAGGCCAAGCCCGAGCTAAAGCCCCGGCCCTTCATGGGGGTCATGGACAAGGCGGTGCGCGTCCAGAGCCAGCAGAGCTCCAGCATGAGCCGACAGGGCCCGGGAGGAGCGGAGAGCTTCAGCATGTCCGTCATGGAGTTCCAGGGCCTGAGCAACGAGTTCAAACGCGCCTCCTTCCAGGAGCAGCTCTCCAGCAGCCAGCTGCAGGTCCGGGAGTTCGGAGAGAGAACCAACCAGCGAGACAGCAGAGGCGCCGCGTCCTCCCAGCTACTCTTCCCCGAGGGCCGGCACAGACAGACGAGCCTCACGAGGGACAACCCGGCACTGCACATGGCTCCCATCAAACCCAAACGCTCGTTTATAGAGTCCAACGTCTGAGGGGAGTTCGTCAGAGCGCAGACGTGCTCGTGTCGCCGCATAAGGTAGCAAGGAGACTGATCTGAGAGCAGCTCCCATCCCTGAGCCTGTTTTTGTAGATTTCTGCTGCTGCACTGCATATACAATCTAGAACCAGAACCAGAACTCATGCTACGATGCTTTTGCTTACACGCATACAACCACACTAGTGTATTCATGGAAACCAGACATACCTTAAGTAGAGATTTAAAACAAGAGAATGGAGTATGTTGTGTCAACTTTTAGCAAATTATACGAAGTAAATAAGCCAGAGGAAGCTTTGTGCACGAATAGATGAAAACCTCACGCCGTTAGCTACAGGTTATGACCATTTCTATTGTCAGGTGTCTTTTAAAAAACATCTATATTTGTACGGTGTACACGACCTTTGCAGATAATATATTTCCTTGTTAGGTGATTTATCTGTCAGCGTTGCAGGCTTCAGCAGAGATTACTTTTCTCTTCCTTGGTACATTTGATAAGATATGGCACTGTAAATGACATTGTTGGAAACCTCTTGTCATAACTGGACATTACTGCATCGATATTCACAGTATACAGTATGTTATTTATTTTTGCATAGCAGAGAACATATTTAGATCGAGTGTTCATGAGCTTAAAAGGACGCAAAGAGAGAAATCACAGAATGTAGGACAGATAAACCTTAAGAGACTTATTACATTGCATTATGTCCATAGTTGTCATATACCCTTTGCAGAGTTATACTATGATATACACAGTGTTGCCACATTATAACTGTGGTATAATAAAAAAACATATATATATTAACGAAGGACTGTATTTCTATATCTGCTTCTTTCACAGTAAAATCGAAAAACATGCATGAGTGGAAAAAACTGTTGTCCATCTTCACATTAAAGTGAAATGACACCGACTGCTTTAATTAAACTTTATACATTGCCGCATATAAATGTCACACGGTTTTAATGAATGTAAGTGATTTATTACCAGTTGGGTGTTGACAGATGTGCCTGAGAAGTAAAAGCTTGAGCTGTTTTGGCCCGGTGTTGTCGCTGCTCGCATGTGGTGCCAAGAAACGACAACGCAACAACAGATTCTGTTCCGAAATGAACAAATATTGTAAACTAAAAGCATAACATTTTCTGCAAAAAAAAAAAAAAAAATAAATAAATAATAATTTCTTACCAGATTTAAAAAAAAAAATACTATACATCTATTAGGCAAAAAAATATTTTTTATGCATCTTTATTAAGGGTACCAATAAATTTGGCACTGTAACTTTAATCATCCTCTTTACAGATTTTAAGTGCAAGTCAACATAAGAGGCCAGAGATGTTTCAAAATATGCACCAAGTGGTGATCAGCGGTATTTCATGTAAAGGTCTCATTTCTGGAAATTAACATATTTGTCTTTAAGGCAGAGTTTCTAGAAATAAACAACAGAAAGAGTCTAGGCGAAGAATAACATCACCGTGTTCACAGATTCTCACAGCTCAGGTTGATTCATATTAAGACTTCAGGAAGTATTCATAATGCCGACACGTCCCATTATAAGGTGGGAAGGTGGCAACAGATGTTGTTCAGTTTGACCAACTTTGACCTTCTGACTCTCCAGAACACATTCTAGTACTTCATGACCCAACATCATCATGTCACCCTCCTCTAATTTGTTCTGACATAATTGTGAACCCACTTATAAAGTAAATATAAACATAACTGTGGAACTTGAATAAAAATCAACTAATGAAAAGTTTTCTTTTTTTTTTGTGACTTTTTAAACTGATTTTTCCACATTTATTATATTTTTTTTTAGCAACACACTCTGTCAGCAGTGGTGACAAACAGATCTCAGTCTCTGCTGCGGTGCAGCTGCCGGCCTCCGATATGCAGGATGTTCGAGTCGGACAGATCTACACTCAATCTTCGTCCTTACCTAATCCAGCTTTGCTCCTCCGCAAAGAACCTCAGCGTGAGAATAAATCAGAAGCAGACGCATCTTGTTTGTATCGACTTCAGAAGGAAAGAAACACGCCGACCAGGTCGGAGGACGCTACTGGCTGGTCTTCCAGCGGCTGATGGCCATCTTCAGGGTGTGGTTGGGCGTGAGGAGTGTCGTCAGCAGGGGAAGGTTGGTCATTGGGCTGGAACGGTTCTTGGTGTGGATCCAGTTCTCGATTGCCTCCCTTTCGTACGAGTAGCCGTCTGTTGGAGCAGGAAGGGTCGGTGACAACAGGATTTAAGTGTCTTGTAATATGCGGCTTTTTGTAGTATATCAACACAAAGTGGTGCATTATTGTGAAGTCTTTTCGTTTTTTCTTTTTACGAATAAGAACCTGCAAAATTTTGCCCTTTTTCTCAAAATGGCTCAAAATAAATCAGATTCCGCTGCATCTCATCTGGCAGCTGGAAAGTGAACCTCCGTCCCAGTCTCTAGTCTTTTGCAGCCTCTCACCAGTTTTCCTTCAGGATGGAACTCTGTAATAGCTAAAGCTTTAAATATTGATTTATTTCCTATTTTGCGATGATGTTTGTTTGCTAATGTTCTCTAACAAACATCTCATACCGATACGTTACTCAGATTAATATTAAGGTGACTTCCGAAAGGCCATTGGAGGCAGTGCGTTGTTTTTTTTTTGCTTCTGAATAAAAATACAAACCTCACTTTTACAGTTTTTATTTATATACATGTAAAATAAATCATAAATGTACACTATTATTGCATCGATTTGTATTGGTCTCCTACATAAAATCCCAATAAAATGAATGTAGTTTTGTAGTAACAGCGAGGCTAAAATGTGAAAAATGTTGAAGCAGTGATGTTGACCTACCAGCTGCTATGACTGGCTCCCTCATGAGCTCTCTGGTGATCGGACACAGAAACTCATCAGGAACCCCCAAGGACATGGAACCACTTTTCAGCTCCTCTACTTTCCTCAGGAGTTTACTTCGCAGGCCGACGGACTCTAAACAAAACACACACACACACACACACACACACACACACACACACACACACACACACACAAAAAAGATGAAGAAATATGTCACAGCAGAAAATGTGCTCTTGACCCAACACTTCCATGCACAATAATGTGAGCGTCTTGAGCATTTGTCATTCCTGCGTTTATCAATTTGCACTCTTTGAATGGCAAATGCGAGCGTGGGTGAGAGTGAACGCCATGGGAGCACACCACGTCTGTCCAGTTTAAACAGCAAACAGGCAGAAAAGCCTCGAGAAGAAAAAGTACAGAAGAGATCGGACACGATTAACAGATGAACACAAAACATTTTTTGTTTTGTTTTGGTTTTACCTCCCTGACCAACTTACCGCTGCATTCTACCTTTTAGGAAGCAAAGCACGACTCGATTGATTCCCACCATTGGGGATGAAAAAAAGAAAACATGCCTGCTCCCTCGGTCTGTCTGCCGTAGCAGCAGATAAAACCCGAGGCCACTCGGCACTGTTCTCCAAGTTAGCTCTGCTAAGAAGGTGGGATTCATGCTGTGTTGCTAAAAACAGATCAATGTGAACACAAGCTGTCACAGCGCTGATGCTGTGTAAACTGAGCAGTGATTGACAGCGACTGTGGGATGGATATGACGACATTTCGTGGCGTTACAGCAAACGTTCGCTGAGAACGACGTGACGAATGATGCCTGAGCTGGTAGACTGAAATCAACAACACAACACTCAGACTTCAGCCTTTGCGGCATCGCTTCACGAACACACGGAAAGAGTAAGAGAGCTAAACTATGCTACGGTGAATAAATACAAAATAAACAGAATCCTAAACAAACACGGAAATAACCAGAAGGGGCTTAACGATATTAGGTGTAAAATCCACTTTATTACTTATGGAAAATTCTGCTTTGAGGATTGGGTTATGTAACCTACAAAGTGCACCAGATTAAAGCCAGAACTGACCAAGTCTTTAAAGCTGAGCGCTTTGGCGCTTCAGCCTAACATTATGTAATCTCGCCGAGTTAAAACCCCGCGAAAACACTCATTCCTTCACCCGCACTCTAATCCACTGCGCTGCCCCTTTATCCATGTGAATAATAGGTAAAAAAGAAATCCTAATCCCTGCACATTTCCTTGTCGATTCTTACAAGAGATCAGTGCTGTAAAACATTTATTTTTCTTCTATCTGAGACAAAAAAACAAAACAAAAAAAAGATGAGAACTACAAGAGAGGGAGGAAGTGAACAAGTGGTGGTGCTCTCACTGAGCAGAGTGTGACATTTGTCTTCCTCACCTATGCCCAGCTCTGACGCCAGCGTCTCCTTGGTGAGACTCAGCAGCTCTGTCCCATCTATGTTATTGGCCTTGAATTTGTCCACCAATCCCTGGAGTCCTTCCTCCACCAGCCACTCCGACACGTCCCCCTCCGACCAATCGGCGACCAGCAGCTTCGATCGGCCCGCCGCGGCTTTTCCTGAGAGGGCGAGTCAAGGCGAGAGGGGGAGGTCAGCTGCTGACGGCTGCAGCACAGATTTTTTTGTTAATCCCTCACCTTCACCGGGTGTCTCCACAGACTATTCTTTAAGACAGAGAAAAACGAAACCAAAACTGAAAGCAAGGGACCTGCAAAGCACTTTTAAAGCAACCTGAGACACTTGAGGCTGAGGTGTAATGAAGAGAGAGCACTCAAGCACACAACACCTGTGTCCCTCGCTGCCAGGGGGAGCTGGATTAAAATGAAAAAAGAAAAAAAGGCACTACTAGCATGACAGGCCAGTTTAATAAACCCAGATTTAACTAACAGGTTTTGATTTCACCCATTATCTTCTATTCTGAATAATCGCTAGGAGAGTAAACGCAGCAAAACCATGCTAATATTGAAGATAAAATGCAAAACTAACCAGGCGACGACTTCCCGCCTGTCCGCCGAACAGCATGTGAAGTAAAGGAGGGAAACGTAACATGAGATTACAGGACAATTTTTATTCCATGAATAAATTATATGTATGTTACTCTTAATGGTGTGACTTTTGAGCCTTTGCTCTCTCCTCACCTCTGCATCCGTCCTCCAGGCGACAGATGTTTACGGTTTTATCCATGGACCCGGTGGCGATCAGTGGTGAGGTTGGATGGAAGGCGCATGCTGTCACATACCTGCAGAGGGAGTCAGGTACATGAATGATACCCAAACTGTGCTCTACAGAAAGCTGGATATGGAAAGCTTGTCAAAAAGCAGCAGTTACCCCTTCTGTGGCCACTTCCTTTTCTAGCACACTTTTTCCTTCCACTCAATTTTCCACCTGTGACTTGTCACCTTCTTTAGAAATTACCTTTTGTGGCTCACCCTCCTTTTGGACAGCAGCCTTAGGCTTCTTATATAATATTCTAATTCAAATCAGATTTTTCTTTTACTTAATTCATTATTAGAAAATGTTCTATTAATTTACACTAATAATACCATATATTAAATCACCATGTGAAAGCTTTATTTTGTACTTACTTAGATTATTTGTTTTCTGATGATGTGAAACATCAAAACGCGACACAAACGAAAGATCAGAAGAAATCTGCAAAGGGGAAAATACTCTTACCCAACACACACCGATTTCCCTTCCATGACCTGAAAAGAAACGCTTAAATCAAATGCCACAGTGCCTTTCCAGACAGTCCAGGATCCACTGAGCTAAAAATCTAAACTTCAGCTGATTTAAAGAGGCAAAGGCAGAGTTAATGAGGGAGAGCTCTCTAAAACCTGAGCTGGATTGCTGAGAAATGCTGATCCACAAAAGCTCCTTGGCTTCACACAGAAGCCGAGAGGAGAGCTCCGCTAAACCTCCAATCAAGACTCTGTC